ACAGCAAACACGTCGCCGGCACCCCACATACAAACAAAACCAAAACCACCACCACCACCACTGCCAGTGTTACCGGTGTTACCAGCAGCACCGCAGGATCAAACATGAACCACAAGAAAGCAATCACCAGCAACGGCGACCATGACGACGACGACGACGACGACGCAGGAAGCAGCAGCGATAAGGACGTGCACATTCTGCTCGAGCGGCCGCAGCCTAATGGTGGAAGTGGAGGTGGAGGTGGTGGTGGCGGTGGTAATGGTGGTGGTGGTGGTGTTAGTGGTGGTGGACGGCACGACCAGAACGAGATGGACTACGAGGTGGCGGATGAGGAGCAGTGGGGGTATTAGTAGTACTGTCTGTCTGTTGTCACTTCGCTTCCATACATCCTTGGTTTGGATGCTCACTCATGTTTGAGTGAGGTCAGCCAGCCAGTCTTGGTCGGCTACGAGACTACTAGGGTGGGGTTGAGGTTGGGGGTTTGGTTGATGGGGGAAGGGGGGGGAGGGTGATTTGGGGAAAGGGGGAAAGCTGGAAAGGGGAGGGGGGGTTTAAACGGATAGGTGTAAGAACTGTGTAATGGATAACCATGTTGCCGTGGACAATTCAGGGTTGTCTTTGGTTTTGGGTTTGCTTGCTAGGGGGGTGGGCTTTTAGAGGTTGCATTAGGCGGTTGGCGAAAAAATGGGCGGGACGTATGGGTATTCAGAACTACATATCCCGAGTGGAGGAAGAATGGGCAATCAGTCGTGGCCTCACTTCATAATACGCATGCATATGTACTGTACAGTACCGGGTTAATAAGTCTGTTGTGTCACCCATCGGAATTTCTAGCTACCGTATGCCAGAAAAAGGCATTGTATCCAAGTACACAAGGTCAATTGTTTGCCTGTCTGCTTTGTGTCACCCCTTTCTCCCACAGTGTCTCTAACTCTTGTTTTGAATTTCTTTCCGCCTGTATCTCAACCACTGTTGAAGTTGATCTTCTGGCCCTCCACCAAGAAAGCCTAACGTATAAGAAAATCCAATCCTGCCTAAATTTCCCTGGGTATCGTTGAGATATCGGTGATGCATGAAAACTGGGTTGGACCATTTCCCTCCTGTCCTCATCGCCTCCGTCCCGCCGCCCCTCAGTCCTCCCATGTCTAACCAGTTGATGATGAAATCCATCCATCCTATTCCAGCACGCCTGCATTCATTTCCCCTTTTGTTGAAAAATCAAGACCTGGCCTAGCAAAATGCCCATGCATGCCCTATATCATGCGCATTTTGTTTTGTTCGCCGTCCACTCATGAAAACGCCTTCCCATATGCATGCTTCTGTATGTTAAATAATGCCGGATATTGCCTGCGTCGTTAAATGCGTCTCTTCCTAGGTCCGGCCCCGTCCCGCTCCAGGCTGTGGATGGATGGATAGATGGATATTAAAAAGTGATGTGTATGCAAGTTGGGAGGTTGAAATGTGTTCCGGCCATGCAAAAAGTGTTGAAGAAAGATATGTCGTCGCAGCTAGTCGGCTGGCCTGGTTGAGCGGTCCAGCCTGACTGAGGACGACAAGTCGTGAGGCATTACGCCGGCACCTCGACGCCATTTGTAGCGCCGTTGGTGACGTCCTTGGCCCCGTTGGCCTGGTTAGCCAGGGGCTCTGGGACCTTCTCCAGGTCTGGGGCCTCCAGGCCGCTCAGGACCTCAAAGATGGTCTGTCCGCGGTGAAAGTCGTTGTTCACTGCGTCCGTGTCAGCGTTACTGATACTAGATAACATATTACAGGAGGCAACTTACCGATATTGACCAGGTACCACGTGTTCATGATGTCGTCCAAGACGAGACGGCTGGGGGTGCCGTTGTCGTAGCAACGGGCCCATTCCGTCCCCAACTGGAATGCCTCGTCCTTCCAGGCGAGGAAGCTGATCCTCTCCACGATAGTGGGCTGGACGATCTCCTTGCCCGGGAACACGCCCCAGGTGACGGCATTGGGACCCTCGGACTGCGCGTTGGTAAAGAGATTACCAGACTTGGTCACGGCGTGGTAGGTCAAGTCAGGATGGTGCTCGATGCGACGCTTGATCTCGGGGAAGAGTTCCGGCGAAATGAGCATCTCGAGGTAGGCCTTCTGGTAGACGTAGCCGTTCGCAAAACCCCAGCCGTGGACTGGGTGGGTCGACTTGACACCGTTGACAGCGGGCTGTGAGTTCACGGTAATAAGGCCACGCCTATTTAGCTCAATCAGCTCGTCCTTGATCAAGTCCGCCTCCTCCGCCACTGGCGCCTCGCTCCAGGGGAGGTATTCGATCTCCTTGTTCAGGTAGCGAATAAAGAGGTTGGCGATGTCCCGGATGCAGGTAGGCTCGCCCCACTTCTTCCGGTTCTGTTCGTTGCTGCCAGTCAAGCCAACACCATAGGCATCCAGCTCGCCGAAGGCCGGCGATCTCGAGTCACCCCAGCGGCCGTTGGGAAACTCGTCCCAGTCCTGGGTGCGCGCGACGTACGACTTGTTGCGATTGCGCCAGAAAATAGGCCGGACATCCTCGGCGCGGCGCCCAAAGCCCAGGGATTGTTTCCAGGGGAGTGCCTGCTTGAGCGGGCGGTCCGGCGACGGCATCCAGTCCAGCTCCTCCAACACCATGCGGGTTGCCTGGGCGAGGTTCATGGTGTAAAAGTGCAAATGGCGGATCCCGGCGTCGAGGATCTTGCGACACATTTCGGCCACCAGGGTCTTGCCAAGGTCACGGACCGCCACATCGTCGTTCTTGACGGGCTCAAACTTCGCCATCCAGTTGTCGGGAACCTTGCAGTTCATGTGGTTCGCGCGGCGCATGAAGCTGGCGTAGGTGGCAATGGGCATGATGCCGGGCACAATGGGCACGGTGATACCGCGCTCCCTGACCTTCCCTACCCAGCGGATGAAGTTGTCGGCATCGTAGAACATCTGGGTGACGATGAAGGTAGCGCCCATGTCGACCTTTTCCTTGAGGTGGTCCAGCAGTATATCCTCGTCCTTGTTGTCGTCACATCCCTCCGGATAACCGGCAACGCCAATGTCGAAGTGGTTGCCGTACGTCTTGCGAATGTGGGCCACGAGGTCGCGGGCATAGAGGAAGCCGCTCTCGGTGGCCTCCCACTTCTCCTGGTCGCGTGGCGGGTCGCCCCTGAGAGCCAGGATGTTGGTGCAGCCGGCTTTGTACGCCTTCCGGAGGGCATCGTTGACCCTCTCCTCGCCCATGTCGGTGCATGTCAGGTGCATGCAGGCCTCTAGCCCCAGATACGTCTGTGCCTGGACCACCATCTCGCAGGTCAACTCGGCGATGTGGCCGCCGGCACCCCAAGTGATGTCGATGAACTTGGGGCCAAAGTTGTACATGCGCTCCATGCGGTCGTAGAGGTTCTGAACACCCTGAGCCGTCTTGGGCGGGAAGTACTCGAACGAGAAGGACGGATTGCCCGTCCTCTCGGCTTCCGCCAGCATCTCCCGGATGTGCATGGCGGCGGGATGCTTCTAACCGGGACGAGGTGGGTTGGGTGGGTGGGAATCGGATATAGCTGCTATCGAGGAGGGAGGGAGAGTGCTCTGGTTAGCCTACTGTTGCCGTCGTTATTTGATCAATGCCCTGGCCACTCGGCCTAGTTAAGGAACCTTGCAGGGGGGGTGAGATGGAGGTCGGGGGGAAGCGAGGCGAGCGGAAACAAAGACGGGATCCAAGGTGGGATGCGACTAGGGACTAGATCCGCCAACCCGCAGTAGTAGGCAGGGCAAGGAGAAGCAACTTGGGAGCAAAGAAGAGACAACAAGGTGGGGTGGACGGGGATGCCATACATGATCGGTCAATTTCGGAGGGCAGCTCAACACTCGCACACTCCCTGGGCGGGGCAAGGAGAAGCAGCGTCTACACCTCTACACCTGCGCACCGTGGTGCTGTTAAACTCCGGCCGGTGATCGCCCCAGGGCGCGGAAGGGGGATGGGAGAAGATGAAAATGGGAAGAAGAACAGAGGGAAAAAGGGAGAGAAAAGACAGCAAACCGACGAGATGAGATGCGAGGAAAGAGAGACCGCCGTCGCGGGGCAGGCCTGCTTTTACACACACAGTGCGCAACGGTGTAGCGCAAGTCCGACCTCAGCGCGCAGAATTTCGCCGTATCCGGAGTGGTTCTCATTGGGTGACACTGATCGCACCCGCATTCCCCGAGCCAATCCCCACCTAACCCTTGCTCCCGCCCTGAGGCTCACCCAGAGTCACTCTGGACAAGATCTTTAGTGGACCCCGCAACCGGGAGCGGGCGGTTTGGGGAACGAGAAGCAGCAAACAAACAATTAATTGAGGGCTGGCAGAGAACAAATTTGCAGCTTGAAGACGGGTCTGCCTTCGACTTGCCTCGTGGCCAGACCGCAGAGGCCGGGATTTGTGGGACGTTCAAATCTGGGCTTGACAGCGCAGCGGTCAGTCCCTTTCCTCTCAACAAAACAGACACATGTCGCAGACACCCGGGCCAACACAGTATGAACGAATGGCGATGTATGTACCTATGCAAGTGGCGGTCAAGGCCTCCAACGGTCGGCGCTCACCTTGGATATTCACGAGAGATTCTGGGTGGGAAACACAGCAGCCAGCCACAGCCACCCAACCGTCACGTTCTGCACCGGGAGACTTTTTAACGTTTTACCAGCACGGAAGAGCGCCTGACGTAACCGGGTCCAACAACGACATCCATCCTTCACTTCTAGTTTGTTCCCCGGTTCTCTCACCGTCCCATCCGTCCCATCCAACACCCCACTCGGCTGCCGTAGTCGGCCCACACCACGATTGCGTGACCGGATGCCGCCGGGCCGTTCCTATCCCAGTGTGGTCCGACAATCGAGGATGGGGACGGCAAGGGACGACACGGGAGGGTTGGGGGGGGCGAGGCACGGAGGTATGAAAGAAACTATTCGCTTTATTCAGTATCAGCTCAACTTCAAAAAAAGTGACCGATGCTTGGATAACACCCTAGCAAAATAGAAGGGTTGGACGGGCTGGGAATCGAACCCAGGACCTTTCGCATAATCCGAAGGACATGCTAAGCGAACGCTCTACCAACTGAGCCACACGCCCTTGATTGGTTGGATGAGCTGGGTCCGCACAGGACCCTATGGCGTTGAGCAGCATCCTGCGGAATGGAAGGAAAGCGTGAGAGAATTAGAATCAAGCAAGAGAGGCGAGAACTAAGAATAAAACTTATAGCTTTTGAAAATCGGGAGGCCGAAGAGGGTGCGGGCTCTTGGCCAGACCTCCCCGACGGCCGGATGAAAAGCATCATCAGCCAGGAGCGGTATACAACAACGAAACTTCAATATGTACCTCTATCCAGCTTCTAGATATGCTTAAATGCAGAACCGGAACAGTCTATACCGATCCGGAAACCATGAAAAGCCCTTCAAACAACCACTCCATATAAAAACCCGTTACTTCTTCCCAGCATCGGGGCTACCACCACCTGGCGATTTGGACCGGCTCGCCACGCCCTTCCCAACAATCTTCTCAGTCCAATTCCACATCAGCGGGCTAGAGCTCCTCTCACTAGAGGGAACCTCCATACCACCACTCGCCGCCCCCTTCCCCTTCCCCTTCCCCTTCCCCTTCCCATCGCCACTGGCGGCCTCCTTCTTCCCACTCCGCCCCGCCCCACCATCATCACTCTCATCCGCGCTGTCGGCCCAATCCCGATCACTCCACGTCACCGAGTCCAGCCTATCCAGCGGCGGGCGCCGCGGCGAAGTCGGTGTTGGAGCTCCTCCCGGGGCCTCAGCCGCCGCCGCCGACGGAAACACGCCCAGGCCGTTCCCCGCCGAAAAAGACGACGACGACGCCGACGCCGACGCCGACGACAACAGCGACGGAGACAACCGCGGACTCCGCGGCAGCATCTCAGGCACCGTATCACCCTCCTCCCCCTTTTCTTCTTCTTCTTCATCATCCCTCACACCACCGCCGCCGATATCACCACCAACCTCAACCTCCTCCCCTTTCGTCTCCCCCCCCTCCTCCTCATCCCTTTGCCTGGCCGTGGCAGCATCACTAAAGTGCGCCTCGACCAGGTGCTGCACCACGGGCCAGCCAAAGGCGTTCGCAAACGTGCGGCGCACGACAATGTTGTTGTGCGCGTCGGGCTCCAGCTTGACGAGCACCTTGCGCCAGGACAGGCCGCGGTGGTAGGCGCGGGCAATCTTTTCCTCGACGCGCATCTGGGACGTGTCGAGGTCGATGAAGGTTTCTTCTTCTTGTTGTTGTTCGCTAGCGGTGGTGGTGGTGTCTGGAGTGGGGCCGCTGTTGTTGTTGTTGTTGTTGTCGCGGTCTTTGTCGAGGGAAAAGGTGTGTATTGTGGACTCGTCGCCGATGGAGCCGGTGGTTTGCTTGGAGGAGGAGGTGTGGGATCGTTGGGAGGGAACCGGGTCTTTGTGGTCGTTTGGCTGGGATGATGAGGGGGGTGGTGGTGTGGTGGTGTCGCTTTGGGTTGTTTTCTGAGAGTTGATGGTCAGGGTTCGGCGGCGCAGAGCCAAGGGGCTTGAAGACCGGTCCTTGAGTGGTGGCGGTGGGATGTCCATTGGGTGGTAGACTCTGTCGTGGAAGATGGTCCGGGGACGTTTGGATGGGTCGATGAGGAATTCGATCGGGGGTAGCTTCGGGTTTAGCAGGTCGCCGGCAGACTCGAAGATGGTTGTCCTTGGAGGTGCCGACATGCTCTCGGGGTCTTCTGTGAGATCGCCCCCGGTAGTCACTTTGGACTTGGACGAGGAGGGAGACTCGGAGGCGGACCAATCGCCTGATTTCAACGTCTGGCTTCGTTGGTAGATCTTGGTTACCTTGGGCGACGCCGGAGGTGGCGGCTTTGGCGTCTCGCTGCGAAAAAAGCTGAAGAGACCGGCAAAGGGGTTGGAGGTGGTCGTAGTTGCGCTCTGGAGGTTCTGCAGTTCCGAAGGCCCTGCTTCTAGGTACGGGCTGGCCATTGACCTGAGACTCTGCCGGTCGTCTTCCAACATGGCGTTCGTTGGCGGCTGAGGGACCTGGTGTGAGTCTTCGGCACCAGTCGGAGTGGTCTTGCCCGTGCCGTTGCTCTCGTCTTTGTCTTCCAGCTCTACCGGTGTCCATGGTACGAGCCTCGGAGTCGTGACGTTGGCGCCTGTCAGCTCTGCCCATCCGAACCCGACAACGGTTTCCACCAGGCCCGCCTCTCGACGAGCCTTTTCGACCCGCCCAAGACCCTGCCAGTCAAGGAAGAGGAGACAGCTTGTCCGAAGAGGTACGATGCCGTCGTTGACCACGTTGGAGTACACGGTTCTGTTACGGAACTTCTTGAGTGCTTTATGGGCCGGCCCAGTGGGCAAGATCCGGAGCAGCGGCTTCGACTCTGGCTGGGGCTCCCCGTAAACGCGCTTCTGGGCATGCTCCCCGAGGTTGCTCACGAGCGCCCCCCACCCGTTCCTTGCGATGGTCGGGGCTCTCCAAGTCAGTCCGAGGTCCTTACCCGTCCTCCCCACCAGGCCAAAGTCCAGCGCAAACTTGACGTAGAGCGGATTCTCGTGATTAAGCCCGAGGAATGGTGATGCCAAGGCAATAAAGTTGACGGGCTCAATGAGCTCGAAAAACCGCGGCGAGTGCTTTTGGATGTATGCGACCGCGTACGTCTGCACTGGGCCACCGAGGGAATGAGCAATAAAGCTGATTTTGGTGAACTTGTAGAGTCGGGTGCCCCCTGGCGAAGGGGTCTGATAGACGGAGCTATGCTTGTGTGCCTCCTCTATGACCTTCTTCTGCGCGCTCGTCTTGAGCGAGTGGGAGATGGCCTCCGAAGCTGTCTTGGCGGTTGGTAGGCATGGTTGGTCTGGGTAGGTCATGGATAGGATGTATCTGGCAAGCCGCTTCCCCAGATACTTGATGCCCTTCTCGGTTTTGGTCGCATTTCCGGAGAAGCCGCGTACAATGACCTCCTCTTCATCATCGTCATCATCGGCGAGGCCCTCTTCCTCATCACCTTCTCCATGCTGACCGAGATTGCCACTGTCGGCTTCCATCTCTGGACCGGCAATCGGGGCGGAAGCTTGACCGCTTCTCTCATGACCCACAGACGCATCAGCTTCTGGGGAAGTTCGCCTTCTGGCAGCCCGCTCCCTTGCTTTGCGCGCTTTCGCGTCAATCCTGGCTTGTTTCACCGATGCGTCTATGCTTTCCTTAAGAAACAGCATGTCACCGCCGAGATTACTGTGCAACCCATGTGTGAGCACAACCAGGTGAACCTTTTTCGGCTTGTGTCCCGACCGCAACCTTGCCTCTTCGGGCTTTCCACTGTCCTTGACAGGCTCAACCGGAGCGTCGGCACCCTCGTTTTCCCGGGCTCGGAGCCATCCCATATCATCCCAGCCCCGAAGCTGCGGCGTATTCCACAGCGCCGCGGTGTCCTCGACCTTGAGATGTAATGCCTTGGAGAACACACCCTTCGGCTGGGCCGGGTGATGCTTCGATGCGCCAATGCTCTGCTGAAAATCGCTCACGCGGCCTGGCTGGGGAACCTGCACCTGCCCTCCGATGACTGGTATCACGGAGCCGAGATTTAGCGACTTCTCGTCGCGCGCCAGCAGCATCTCATAGTGCACCGACGCCGAGGTGGAAAACATGACCTGGGAGGCAACCTCTATAATCCAAGTCACAGTGTCTCCGTCATGCTCCGGTCCGGCCCCAAAGTGTCCGTGTTTGCTGCTGCCCTCGCCGGCGTTCTGACGGATGTTGTCGGGTACGACCAGATGGCAGTTCCACACGGCGCCGGCTTTGAGCATGGGCTCGAACTCGGGCACGCCATAGCGACGGGGGTTCTCGAACTTCTCAAAGGGCCTGAACGTCGAGGGGTACGCGTTGACCGAGAGGGTGTAGGGTCCGTGGACGAATGCGGCGCGGAGGGCGATGGCGCAGGTATTCTTGATGCGCAGGTACAGGAACTCGGGGGACGGGAGGATGTGATCGGCAGAGGGCGTGTAAGTCACGGTGTAACGGATTATCTCGCCGATCTTGACGCTGCCGGTCTGGTGGAGGAGCAGCATCGTGGACATGCTATGTCGGCGGCGGTGAGGGGTTCATGTGCTTGCCGAAAGGAGCCGCCGGCATCGAAGACCGAAGACAGCCCGGGTGATCGTCGAGCGGGTCGCATCCAGCCAGTGTTGGGTTGGGCCGTTGGGGACTTCAGGGCACGGGAGCTTTGGTGGGGCGATGGTGCCGTTGCGGAGCGTTTATCCCATCGTGTGCGTCAGTGACCAGCGCGATGCTGTCGTGTTGTCCTGGCGATACCGGGGCACTTTTCAACGAGACTTAAAACCGCGGACCGCTCGGGATGATGCCTGACTCGAATCTCGATGGGCGCAAGTCGGGAGCAGGGAGCGAGAACAGGAAGAGACGAAACGTGCAGGCAAGGATGGGACCTGGAGTGCGGCTGGGCGGCTGGACCCGGCACGAGTCCGAAACGCTCGAGCCAAATTACCTAAAGCTTAAATTGCCTTGGCTGCACTTGGCGTGTTGTCATGCCCCAACGACTCAGCGGCGACGGAGCGCCGAGTCCGCTGACAGAGGGTGGGTTGTGGTGGTCTGGACGTCGCATCGGCAGGTCCCACTTGAAATTACCCTGATCTTGTGTATTGTTGCAAGATTTGTATTCAGTCACTGATCGAGAGTTGAGGCCTTTGACCCAGGCCATACACAGGATAACTAAAAAAAGGAGCAACGCTATCTGTTTAGGAAGTCAGCAATAACCAACCTGGAAATAATACCCGAGGTATCCGGTGCAAGAAAACAGCAATGAATTAGTCGATGATGGCACTGACTCAAATGTTTCACAGCATCCATTTGTAGCCTTACTTCCAATGGTACTGAATAATCATGGGGTGTCGGGTACTTTACGCCGAAGGAATAGATTACACTGTCCCCGCCCGAATCCATCCTGCCGGGACCGCGCAAGCCAGTCGGGTCTCACGTGAGCAGGCAGCATGACCCACCTGCGACCATCTGGGCCGCCTGGCCAGTGGCCACAGACTCCGAGGACGACTGACCGCCAACTTTTTTAAGCCGGCAGT